AGATGACGATGTGAGTTATGCCGCAATCCACATCGTAGGTACTGTAGCTTATTAGAATGTAGAAAGAAGCCTTGAACTGTAGCTGCACTTGGACTAAAGATCCCGAGACTGAAGTCCCGTATCTCTGCGTGGCCGGCAGAGACGCTAAAATCAAGGTCTACGATGTTGTCCAGGGGAAACTAGTCAAGGTCAGACGGTCATTTATATCCAACTATAGCAGTTCTTACTAACATCTCATACAGGTCCTCGTGGGCCACGGAGGAGTAAGTTCTATAGTAGAGTGGCTGAAATACTAGACTAACAGCCCTTGGAGGAAATCAACGATCTCGCCACATGTCCGACGAATTTCCTCTTGATTGCATCTGCTTCAGAAGATACTACAGTTCGAATCTGGAGCCTCGATCCTGCACATTCTAAGCAGCCATGCGTTTGTCTCCTTGCTGGAGAAGGACATTCGTCAGGGCTATTAACTGTCGTATGTGTCCTTACCTACTCTCCTGACTCTCTTGATTTTAACTTGTATCTAAGGCATTCCACAACAGCGGTAGGTATGTTCTCTCCGCTGGCCACGATAACGTCATATGCCTGGTATGAAATCGACCTCCAACTAAGGAATAATGTGGGTGTATCTTATTGACAATTACAGTGGACACTTCCTGACTTGCCTCCCGAATCCAACGGCAAGAACCCCGCGAAGCCTATCGTAATACATTACCCTCATTTCTTCACCTCTGAGGTGCATAGCGGCATAGTAGACTGGTGAGTTGCCACGTCATCATACGAGATTGCAGAAAAAACTAATGATAGATCAGTGTGGCTTTCTTTGGCGACCTCGTTCTTTCACGAGCTTGCCACGAAGATATAATAGTGTTGTGGCGAATCGAGGGATTCTCCTCTCGCGACCCTCCGCCAGAAATTTCTGAGGCACCTACCACGAGTGACACAGAACGTCTTACCCGCTCTGCATTTGCTCCTGCGACGGCATCGGCATGTCCACCTCAATACACCCGTCTATTGGAGTTCTGGACACCGAATTGTGGCCACCAGTTCTACCTTCGCTTCAAGCTATTTCATGACAAGGACAAACATCCAGTCTTGGCATTTGGCAACGCGAAGGCTATGATCTTCTTCTGGGATCTTGCTCGCCTTGGAAGTTATCACGATTTCATTAGTGAGGTTCGGAATCCAGAGCGCGATAAGACCCAACCGATTCAGCGCCCGGGCTGGTTAGCCCCAATCCAGCATAGACACAAGGGTGACGCAGTCAGTAAGCTTAAGGATGCTGCTAGTGACAGAGAGTCGGTCGTTTCGGGGCGTACTGGCAGTGTCGAGGTTGAAACGCACCTAGATCTCAACACGAACTATTCACAAGAGACATTAGAATCTTGGGAGTTGAAATACGATATGACACGCGTGGAGGAGCCCATCAGGGCACATTCACAAAGCAACATCACCGTCAAGGATTTCGTCGGACGCCAAGTCGCTTGGAGCGCCGGGGGCGATTGGTGTGTTGTGGTAGGGAGTAAGAACCTTGCCATCATCCTTCAGCGGTGGCACAAGAAGGACCGAGCAGATGATAAAGAGAAAAAGTCGATCAGCCAGGACCGTCAGAATTGAGGGGACGGCGCAATTACATGTCTTAAATCACCTTCTATTCATAGCTTCCTCATATCACTGAGTCCGGAAGACATTGTGAATAAACGAGTGTGATTTTTGAACTCCGTTATCTGAGCTAGCCTGAAGGAATGACGATATTTAAAAGGCCTATTGATATTTATGTTTTTATTGACCCTCTCTCAGTCATATCTTCCCCGTGCAATAATTCCGAAATATATAAGCGAACTCCAATTGGCCACCCAGGCAGTAGAGTAGACTTTTATCTACCACCGCTAGGTGCTTCCGACTTGCCTTCCTGCTCATCCTGATCCTTGTCTTCTGGCTTGTCCTCATCGTTATCCTCCGGCTTGTTCTCATCGCTGTCCTCCGGCTTGTCCTGGTCGTTGTCTTCTGGCTTATCCTGGTCATCGCCTTCCGGCTTGTCTTGGTCGTCGCCCTCTGGCATGTCCTGATCATCGCCTTCTGGCATGTCTTGATCGCCGTCTTCTTGCATGAAATCATCGATGCAGTAGGGGATGTCGTTGATGTATTGGCAGACAGTGCCCCCCGGGCAGCTTCCGCCATCCTGCAATTAATCAGTAGCCAGAAAAGAAAGTAACGAATGTTACTTAGATATATAGCAGTACGTACGACGTAGAAGCCCTCAGCAGTGCAGACCTTCCAGCCCGTGAAGTCGGAATTGCAAATGTAAGAAATAGGGGTGCACGTCTCAGGATCATCCTTAGGAGGGTCACCCATAGGAGCAGGGCAGCCCTTAGGAGTAGGATCGTCATTCGTCAAGTTTACTCCGTATGGTGCAGCCAGAGCGGCTGTGGCAAGGGCCATAGTTATGAAGAACTTCATCTTGGATTTTATGATGGTGGTTTCAGGGTAGTAATAGAAATGGTGAGTATGTGAATGTTGATGCTGTGAGTGGACAGTCGCTTAGACAGAGAATCATCTTGTCATCTACTTCTTTTTATACAACACGAGGCGGTATGAACGGGCTCTCGAGACCACGTTTCATGAGACGGCGGCTCAAAAGCCGTTGAAGCCTTATTCTAGCCAAAGTTTATTGTAATGCATACCATCGCAACATGCTGACAGAACGTAACGTCTCATAGCGTGGTGAGGAAAAAGAGGTTAATTGTCGATTCAGAATAATGCATCACAACTAAACTACGAGTCTAGAAAGTCGATTCGACGCATCATCCAGTTTCCAGCACTGCGGGTTCAGACTATGCGATGAGACCAGACCTGGCTTGAACTACTCGTCTAATGGCCAATTTTTGAAACTGGACGAATACCTAAGATGCCAGCCAAACCAACGGGATGAAACAACATCAAGCTAGTTGTACGTCAGCAACGGCCTGGATACTAGACGCAACGATACGGACGGAGGGGCCTCCTCAAGGGGCTTCCATATGACGAACTATGAATTAAGTTCCTTCGAGATGTAGCTCTCCTTTATTTGGGTTATGCTGCAATTTATCTCCCTTCGGCTTTCTAGGAGAAGCCTGCTAGAATCTTAAGAATAAACATTAGAATTAGGAAAGTATTGCGGCGTTCTAACCATGGATTATAAACGCCATAGCACTGCCTACGCGGCCACGAGCCGTCCACGTCGTAGACATATGCATTACCATAGCCTCTTCACTTCGTGAGAACACGCTCAGATAGTCTTTGAAATACTAGTATAACGCACGTCTGTTTTGGAATTAAGTTCCCTCCCAACTAGTGTATAGAGACTAGTGCTCAGGCCCCCGACCCCTTTCTCGCTCTTTGTGCATGTCGAGAAGTAGCCACGCTCCAATCCCACTAGCTTGTGATAGAGAGTGTCTTCCACCGAGGGTAGCATCTAGAAATCCCTCTATTTGTACCAACCTCAACATTACAATCATACATAAAATCACATCTAGAGCGCCGAGTGCGACAGCTGAGTAAGCCCAGCTCTCAGGCCGAATCGAAGTAGAGCCGGAAGCTATTGTGTTTTCAATAACGCGATGAGCGAGTAAACCAGCGTACCAAGTCCTGTTGCTTTTAATCACATGTTAGTCTTAGGAAAGCGATGGCATTGGGTGTTGTCATGACTACCTAGACTTTAGGCCTACGTATCTAGAGGTGAACCTTCGGGATATTGTTTCTAAAGTGGTTTCTTTCTCATAGAGGCTATCCAGATTTAGAGATAATATTCAATATCCAAGCTCATCTGCTTAACTCGGGTTCGATGTCGTCCTAGGAACATATTAAAGTTCGAATCTTCGTTTAGAGATTCTCAATGTCGCCCTGAAGTTGCATGGCGGTTTAGGAAAACAATCCTTGCGGTGCTTGAGGTCAGTTCATGCGTAATTATTGAAAAGGTTTCTTGTGCATCGTCTGCCAAGAGCGATGAAATGTTTCATCAAGACGGACTGGAGTAAACAACTACTCGAAATTGGAAGGGACCTACATCGTACCGTGGCAAGACACAGGAAGGAACCGCCGGCTGTCCTCTGTGAGCGCAATCCTTGAAGTACCATGTCTAGAAACTCGCACCTACCTCTCGACTTACCTGGGGTACGTAATGGAATTTTCAAGCGTTCAAAGGTTGAGGAAAGGACAACTTAGGTAAGTCATAGACCCGTCCCTTCGCGAACTTCAGCCTGGATGTGAGGCTCTTTCGCACAGCTCGTTTAACATCACTTCACATCTTTCTTACCAATGACCCCAAGTCCGAACTCAAGTCTAGCCTATGGCTTTTGACATACATTATATGAACATTCCTCAACCATTCAGCTGGTTATATGGCCTGTCAATACTTCCTGTCCATTATGCGCTTACTTGCTTGGCTAACCCTGGGCTAATATGTGTCTTCAACCCTATGTGTCCTTTTCATACCTTCATCATCCAATCTTGTCTTGCTATTCGCATCTACGACTTCTGCCCTAGTAAACTTATAATTACTCATTACTGATATTCGCCCAGGTATCGTGTACGGCTCGATGGAACTGATGGGCTGATTGGTCGGCTCTCGACATTTCGATGGTCGCGTATCTGGTAGGCGTCCGCTACACTATTTCGAAACGACGCCTTGTCTTCTGGATGCGACTCATTGGGCCTCGGTCCATCATGATGTGCCCGGACGGCGAGTTTCCCTATGTAAAGGGCTTACATCCTTACTTGCCGTGTCGAGTCGTCTAACTTGATGGCCGCCTTATACGTGCCAGCGTGCTTATTTCATGCTGCGTTTATGGCGTTGAGGAAAGCGGGGCAAGTCTACGCGTACAGTGCAAGAGTCCGACGCCACCCATCCCTTACTGTCCGAGCGCACAAAACTATATAGTTTGTCAAAAATGGCGCATTTCCACGAACCAACCACCACCTGACGGAGTCGGGCGTTGGCTACAGCTCCTCAAGGAGTGACCGGGCTTGTGGTTTAGTGGTATAATACTCCCTTAGCATGTGATCTTCAAGATCGCCGGCGACATGGGAGTGGTCCGGGGTTCGATTCCCCGCGAGTCCAGCAACTGGAGGTTAGATTCCTCCTGTACCAGTTTTTTTTCCTTCTGTTTCTGTTTGCAAATTTTTACACATTAATGTTCATTCTTACTTATTTCTCCCTACCACCTCACTCGTGCTTCTGGTGCGTTCGATCGCTAAAACTTTCACTTTTGGTTTCTTCAATTTAATGTTATCACGTTTTCTCTGTTGCATCATTGATTCCAGTCCGGAAGACGTGGAAAGCCAGCAGAGGTCTTCCCTTTAGAATCTATGGTATCGGATAGCACGTGTGACTATCATTTACGCATCTTTAGCGAGGCTTGTAACTTGTGACTCGGATACAAGTAACTATTTCGATTCGGCCGTATAAGTCCATCGAGTCATAGGTAACATCTCATTGTGACACCCGTCATACACAGGTATGCATTTGAAGAAGCTGCCCATGTTGGTATCGCGACACCGTACAACAATACATACATGCTGGACTCGACGGTTTCACTGCTCGGCTGGTACGTGTCGTCTGCTACGTTACTTTTCGGGCGATGGCAGTCTTCACGTCACGGCAGACGTGATGAATTACGCGATGGGGTCAGAGAGTATAAGTTTGCTGGTCTCTGTGGCGTCACTTTGACTTGTCAATAGAATACATTGAGAAGAGAGCGGCGGCGGCTAGGCGCTTTTAGGGCTGATGAAGTGGATTTGGCATTTCAAGCCCGGGATAGTATTGTTATCTGTACGAAAGCTCCTAAAGAGACAGTATGTGGTAGTACCTAATAGAAAACGTTGAGGCTAAGTTGTATGGGAAATGTTCTAAATCCGGGGATGATGGTTCGATAGGCGACAGGTCTAAGTGAAATGTCTATTCAGCTACATACATGTATTCTTGGGTCTGGTGAATTGAGCGTGTGTAATCGCTAGTTTATCGAGCGTGGACTTTGCTGTTCAATAACTGCCTAGCCAAGTAAACAATTGGGTTCATATATTGTCCAACATTGAAAGGGGCGAAAGGAGCCTGTGCCTCTCAACTATATTGATGGTCTGCTGGCTTGTCCATTCAGTGGCAAGCAAAGACTCGTTTCACAGCCATCCGAGAGCTGGCAAGCAATGCTCAGCGCAACTTTCTTCTACTAACTCAGCCGAGGATTCTCTGGCGTTAACCTACCTATACGTCGCTCTTCGGAAGTAACGAGGGGAATATATCAAATTCCAATCCAAAATAAAACCAGCCAAACATACTTGCTAGGCACATAATTTCCCGACAGCTTCTAGTCAACAAGTTGTCTTAGGTAATAAACGCCTTATGAAGACGACAAAAATAGTGTCTTCAACAAAACAAGCGACCCCCAGTTGCAGTCGCGCGGCAAAGACATATCGGAGCGTTTAAGGACGGAAATAGGAAGCTCGAGAGCTCTTGTTTCAAGCCTGGATGCCCACGCCCCAGCTAGAATGTGCACTAATTCAGTGGCCAATCAAACCCCGCCATTCCCTTATTACGTAGCTGCTAAAGATCATCGACATGGGATCCCCGGCACCCCTGAAAATCCATTCGACCGCTGGGACGGTCTTGACGACAGGTCCTTCCCAAAACTGCATCGAGATTCTTCAACGCCACGGTCCGAAGGCGTGTAGTACAAATCTTCAGCGTTGCTTTACCTAGCTGATGGGTGCGGACTACCGCGGCCTTCGTGCCAAGCTGATTCCAGGCCTATCCTTCTCCATTTCTCCTACATGGTGTCGGTCGCTAACTTCTAGTAAAACAGACCGTTCCATGCCTCCTGAACGATCACATTAGCCAACCAAGGCACACTGCCATGCCTAATGGTAGCCGGTGGCTGATGGGTTTTGACAGGGCATAGGAGTTTCCTATTGTGAACACCAAATAAACACGATACACTACGTAGTAATTCAGCCACTCATTGTGTTTCTGTGGATCAATCTGCCCATGATTCCTTCGAAACCTGAATAAGATCTCTTTGTTTCCCGCATACACGTTACGACAGGCTCTCACAATGAGCCTATCCAGGTCACAAATCATCCTTTCTTTCCCGTCTTTTCTTGTCAACTAGCGTTGATTGTTCTTTCCCTTTTGCTTCCTACTTATTCTTTTTCTGGCTCATTGTGGGATTTAGACAATCGCTACAGGAGTCTATGTCTATTATTCGACCTAGCACATATTGTTTGTAGGATTTTGTCACTCATTACCTATTGGATATCCTAGAAGACGACATCACCACCTTCGCCGTTTCCTACAGCAAACTGCCAATTCCACTCGTTTCTTCGGCCTCCCAAGAGCACTCGCTACATTACACCTAGTGTTATCCTTGATCCTCAGGAAGTGGACGTACAAGGAATCAATTGAGAGGACACAATAAAACCTGCAATTTCCCAGTATTTATAGATATCAAGGTCGCTGGGCGATACAGTTCTTTTCATCGGCACACCAGCATGTATATCAAATCTATTCACGCTGCTGCGCTGGCAGCAGCATTTACGCCACCTAAAGACATCAACATCAATGATCAAAGTTAGTCCACACATCCTGAAATAACACAGGAAGACAGAGACATATACTAACCCGCATGCAAGCATCCGTACGCAGTGTTGCTAGCACTCTGGCATATGAATTAATGGCTTGGTACACTGGAAATGTGACCAACACCCCAGAAGTATGGATACCAGAACCCCCTTGTCTAGGTAAACTTAGGCTAATGTACTACATTGTAGACTATTGCTGTTTTCCCAGAGCCATATTGTAAGACTTGCTATCTCAAATATTTGTTCTTTGCGGCATGAACTATTGCTGACCTTAGAGATAGATTGGTGGGAGGCAGGTGCCGCTTGGGGAGCTATGCTGGACTATTCTCATTACACAGGCGACTCCAGCTACGATGAAGTCATCACACAGGCCCTGTTAAGCCAGGTTGGGCCGAAGTTTGATTTCATGATGCCTTTACACTTCGGCTCAGAAGGGAACGACGATCAGGCGTTCTGGTCTTTTGCTATTCTTAATGCTGCCGAGAGGAACTTTCCTCAACCTGACGATAGTATCCCCCCTTGGCTGAACATAGCAGAAAACATTTGGAATACAATGGTTGCGAGGTGGAACGAGTCTAGCTGTGGGGGTGGACTCGCGTGGCAGATCTTCCCGTCAAACCCCAACGGCATGAATTACAAGAACAGCGTTTCCAACGGCGGCTTCTTCCAAATGTCAGCACGACTTGCACGAGCAACTGGCAATGACACGTATCTTCAGTGGGCACAGAAGGTGTGGGACTGGTCAGAGAAAGTTGGCTTCGTGGACGGCGATTTCAACGTCTACGATGGGGCCGACAGTAAGGGAAACTGCGCCGAAATAAACAAACTGTCATTCTCGTATGCACAGGGAATTTACATGTACGGCGCCGCGGTCCTTTACAACCACACGAATGGCGATAAGACGTGGGGAGATCGCACGTCTGGCCTTCTGAAGGCTGCGGACTCTTACTTCAGTCCCTATAAGAACGCGACGAACATCATGTACGAGCATGCCTGCGAACCTTATGAAGTCTGTAACAACGACATGAAATCGTTCAAGGGCTACCTCTCCCGCTTCATGTGGGCGACGACGCGGATGATGCCCGCGACCCTGCCCCGTGTTCAGACGCTGTTGAATGCCTCTGCTATTGCTGCTGCGAAGGCGTGTTCTGGAGGTGAGAACGGCACCGTGTGCGGACAAAAGTGGTATGTTGGTGGCTATGATGGCGTACCCGGATTAGGTCAACAGATGACGGCGCTGGAAACCGTCCAGGGGCTACTTGCACAAGAAGCCCTCCCTCCTTTCAAAGCCGGTCAGATCAAGCACGTCAAGGGCGCAGCTAACACTCCACCGACGACGAACCCGGCTACCACTTCACCATCACCAACAGCTAGTCCCACGCCTACTAAGAGGTCGAACGCCGCAGAAGGCGTATTCGTTGAGTGGCGATGGGCACTACTAGCTTTATCTTCATTCTTGGTTATGGCATTCGCATGATAGAATGATTATGGGGATATCAAAGAGGAGGATTAACATAGCAATTGGCGTTTGGGTTCCCTTGCTTCATCGAGGAGGTCGTTGGGCACCTTGACTTCGTATGATACCACGTTTTACCTTCAAAACCCCATGTATTATTGGTGACCGATAGATTCCTATGAGAAAACTCAGACATAGAACCTTCGTCAATTACTCATAAAATAGATAAATATTGAATAAAAATGAACATATACCTTAGCTTCCTGGCCTCTTTGCATCTTACCGACTACCTTCATTGTGGCACACGTGGTTTCCGTAATGAAGACAGAACAGGTGCACTCAACCTTCCGCACAGCTAAACGCCGTCATCCTTGAGTGTCGGCGACCCATATAAGAGATGTAATGTCAACAGTTTTCTAGTACGGCGAGCTCAAGGCCAAGATCATGACCACTCTGGTCCTGGAAGATGCGGATATAAATTATGCACATTATTCTCTCTTCGCGCCGCAGTATAAAATCACAACTGGCAACTTTAGACAATAATTTGTGTGCATGATCGGGTCCTTGCACTCCGATAATACTTCATGCAACTCGCGTCCTTGCATAAAGGCGAGTCGTTGCGGGAACTTGGATGAGTGTGAGTCGCGGGATCCATTGCGTGATACCACTCGTGGGTTGGATTAAACTTGTTACGGTCCGTCTTGCGGCAGACTAGAACGTCCTGCTGGTAGATGGTGACCAAACATATGGGGTTGTGCTCACCCCTGGGCCAATGTTTCCTCATGCGTACCTTTTGACCGTGTCCATATCCGTAACGTCGCTGCCGCCAATGATGAGAGATGCATCCATTCCGGTCATCGCGGAAGAAGCGAAGCCTGCCCGATGGACCCGTAATAGTAAGCATCTTCCAGTCAGTCTCCATTTCGTAGTGAAGACAGATGCATTTGGTAGGGCCAAAACACACCATCTCGGGCAAAGGGTTCGAAGGGTACGAAGGGAACAATATGCTGGCTGGCCCTTGCCGATATCTC